GTTTTCCTATATGACTTTAATTATACCATGGACTACTGTTTTTAAAAATCATTTGGACTATAAATTCTGTTTAAGTCTCTAGAGCTCAATCTTAGTATTTAACCCATAGCTGGGAGAAGAGATGGTGTAATGAACTCTGTTGGAATTCCAAACGACTAATCATCATCATTACCTGTGCATCCATACATTCATATAACCGATTGATTATATTATTGGAAAATCCTCAAACTGAACTTTTCCTATTTGGTTATCTCTCTCCTTTTCTCTTTTCTTAGAGCATTGCTATTTCTAATTCCTCCACACCCTGTAACCCCTTGTGTGCTGTACTCCCTTGCTTACAGTGCTTTTATTTTTTATTTTTTTTTTTTTTTTTAAACCTTATTCATTGCAATACATTGTTTCTTTTTAATTTAATGTTTTTAAACCCAGTTGTAATAAATGCAGTTTTTAAAATTGCCATGACTTCTTGGAAAAGTTAGTAGAGTGGTTTCTCTGTACTGTTCTATGGGTTGGACTTGTGTAAGTGAGGGAAAACTCTTGTCACTAAATGCTAGAGTGGAGAAATGATATTACCTTTTTCAAGGGTTTGAAAGTGAACACAACAAACTAGCCCAAAATTTGAATCCGGCTTTCCAGTTATACATTTTGATATACTCTTCAAACCCTCCCCTACTGCAAATATGGATTGTACAGTTTTAAGCAAAAAAGAAAAAAGTCAGGGAGTATTGCTTACTCAAGTTTTGTATTTTTTTTTTTTTTTTTTTTTTTTCAAAATAATCATTACAAAAATAGTCTGTGCCATCAAAAATGATGGCATCTATTAGAAAGTTTTAACATTGAGATACAATGTGTGGAGATCCAGAATTTGAAACTAAAATGGAAGCCAATGAACCATTTAATTAATCACTTTCTTTACTACTACATGTATTTTTTTTTTGTTTTGTTTCTTTTGTTTGTTTTTAAAGATTTTTTTGTAGTTACATTTATTGCAGTGTATGAATGTTCAGAATTCATAACTTGAGCATTGAGAACTGATTTTGTCTAAAGATGAATATTTTATTTGTATAGATTATTAGTGACTAAGAAAAGTAACCAGTCTTAAATTTACTAACTTTTTTTTTAAGTTGATTTATCTCCCTTGCTACTATAGAATGTGACATGGAAGAAAGAAATACCCAACAGTAATTATTATCATGTTGAAACTTCTGCATGCAGACGTTGAAAAAATGTCAAATATAAGGATGACATTTTTCTTTTTAATTATTATTAGTTCACTCATGCTGCTAAAAATTAAGTTCAGGATTTTATAAGTATATTGCAACTATAACCTTTTATAACATAAGGATTTAAAACAAGCAAAATGCAATAGTTTATTCATAGTGGTGGTGTTTTTTTTTTTTTTTTTTTCCTCCACTCATACAAAGGTACTTTTTCCTTTGTCTCATGACAATATCACATTGAAACATTGGTTCCCATACGACTGCTTAAATAACATCGAGCCTGGCCAGTACCTAGGTGAGTGACTGTTTGGGTATACCAAGCGCTGTAATGGATAATGGTTCAGAATTGCTAGAGTTCCAATTTTGGCTGGGTTCAGTTATATTTCACTTATGCGCAAGTACGATTGGTAAAGGTATAAATCACTTATTCCCCGCAATGGGTTTAATTAATAAGACTTGTCTCACGAATCTATTATTATCTCTAAGACAAAAAACAAAATTCTTATCTAAAAAAAAAAAAAAATTCTGGATTTAAATAACCTGCAACATCGTAAAAAGCGAATTGATCAATCAATCTTTAGTATCAGGTATCCTACAAATTTAATACAACGATCGATCTATCACTGTAAGCACGTGTATTTCACAAAACCTGGTTAAATTAGTAGGTCAATTCCTTTAGCAACACGAAAGGCTATACTTAGTTATAAATGAGACGGATGTACTTGGCGCAGGGTGTCAGTTTCTCACCATATGGCTATAGATTGATTTTGTTTTTACGGCTTATCAGCCCTTTGGAGGTTATTTAAAGCCGAAACACATTTTTACATTGTCGGATTTTTTTTTTTTTTTTTTTTCGCAAGTTGATGCTGTACTAACATATTTTATTTTTTGGGGGTAGATAATGATTTTTCAAACAAGTCCTACTATTTAAGAAGCTATAGCTCGATGTAGAAGAGGTGGATTCATACCTCCCCCACCCAAGGGTATTTGTACGTAAGTAAATGTAATTTACCTGACTGGAATTCGAGCTCTGCTATCCATTACGTCACCCGCATATCCAAGTGGTCACCCATCTAGTTACTGATCAGGCTCGAGGTTTCTTAACTTTAGTGATCAGACGAAAATCAGTGTTTCAACGTGATGCGGCCGTAAGACAACCTCCTGGAAGGGACTGAGAAGAACACTTAGCATTTTGCGTTCAATAATTTTTAGACAAAGATTGATGGCTATTTCCTATCCCTACAAAAAGTATTGGTTCCTGATGTTAGGCTGGCTGGTGTGCGTGTCCTATTCTGTCCAGATAATGTTAAAAAAAATACAACATTTGGGGTTTTCACACAACAAAATCGAATAACAACCATGCTTTCGTGTATAACTCATTATTTTTTATTCTTAATAAAGTATGTATGTTTCATAAGTGTGTCTTATGTCATTGCTAAAAAGGTGATAGCAAGTAGTTTGCTGCCAGGAATATGTTTCCAATAAGTCTACAAAAAGGAAGGAAACAGTATGACACAGTGTAAAATCAGTCAACACGTGATGAAAGGGGTTTGCCGTTTGACATGATGAATTACAGCAGCAAGTATAAATGTAAAAAAAAAAAAAAAGTGGCTTAAATGTTCAAATAATAATGATATTAAGAGAGACTGATACTTAACATCGCTGGTATGTAACTTTTTCTATCATTTGAAGACAGAGTTAGAAGGTTGACTGTAGTTTATTGTGCTAGTTCCGGTAATTACTAAGGGCTAAACAGGAAGTGATCAAAACGGTGCATGTACCTAAATTAACAAGGTGGGGAAATAAAACAACAGAGTCCTGAAACTTCGTTAAAATCAGACATTTATTTGATTGTTGCAAGAATTTCCAAATTTTTTCACCGCAAAAACACGCTAAGATTTCCTATACTTATTTATGGTCGCCCGCTAACGCAAGAAAAAAAAACATCTTTATTTAAGATTCTAAAAATTATTAAAAAAATATAAGTTAATAATCAAAAAATCCCTTGTACTTTCCTCTTAATAATGATATAAAGATTTTGACGATAAAACTTTATTTTTAAGTTTGGGGTACTTTTTCATTATGGTATGCTCATTTTTTAGCGAATCTTTGGCGGTACCTATATCGTCAGAATCCATCTTGCACGTTTATAAATCTACCATTCGTCCGTGCATGGAATATTGCTGCCATATTTGGTTTGGTGCTTCTACTAAATAGCTCGAGATTTTTGACAAAATTCAAAGAATGGTTTGTAATGTAATCGATCCTGACTTAACATTTCGTCTTCTGTCACATTCTCACCGACATGACGTGATTTTTCACTGTCTTTTCTACAAATATTTTCATAGCAATTGTTCTAATAAGCTTATCTCCTTGGTACAGCGACCACATGAATTCAAACGTACTTATACATTGAGAACGAGGTCTCAGCGTTTTAGTGTTGAAATAGCTAGAGATGAAACCGTAAATTCATTTTTTAAATAGTTTCTTTTCTTGTACTTATCACCTGTGGAACTCTCTTCTTGGTTTCTTGCTTTTCTAATACATACAATATTCGAAAATTTAAATGCAACGTCAATAGGTATCTTTTGTCTTCCTGGATCTTGTTTTATATTGTTCTTTCTTCTTAAAGTCTTTCTCTTCCACTCCCAGTAATTCCTTACGATTTAATGACTTTATCACATTGCTTGAGGTGAAATGATTTAAAAAAAATATTCTATTTAATCTGGTTTAATCTTTATTTTTTGTGACTTTTAAAAAGAAAATCTTGTCCTGCAATTTCCAATTTACAATATTAAAAACAAAAAGAACGATTTTTATTCTTATTTACATCTTTAAAGTAAATGAACTATATTAATTAATCCAAATTGTCAGTTTTTTTAGTGGCATAATTCCTAAAATTATCAAGGTGAAATGACGAGCGTTTTCCTGACGATGTGCCCCTGAGGATATGATATGTTGTTGGGTTTTACCGTTGTCAGATCATCTGCTGCTGCTAACTGATCACATGACTATTACAGTGACACTCTATTCATTTATTGTCCGTTGTTGTCTTGAATATATTGTATCAGATCAATAAACACTGTCCTTTCGTTTTGTTTTAAATCTACAAACTACTATTATTCATTTTAATGGCCTTTTTAATCGAGTCTAAATTCAATGCAAGAGACGAAATTCTCTAAGCTTTTTTTCTTTTTCTTTTTATGCAGGTATAAGCTGTTAATTTCAAAATTCATTGAATAATAATACTTATTTTCCTCAAATATGACAATGCTTCGCTAGACCATTGTTCTTTAAGAAACGCCGTTGGCACGTTTTGAATTTATTTATCTATCTATCTACACACACAAACACATATATATCGAAAGCAACGGACGTTCTGTGAAATGAAATGCGTCGTTTATAGCTTTTCCACTTTGACTTATCTTCACTTTTGTTTCGGATTATATAAACACACACACACACACCTTGGAATTCGACGGAATGATAAGATAACAAATAGGAAACGTTTATCAATCTAAACACGTTTAACTTATATTAATTTATTACTTTCTGATGAAGTTTTAGTAAATGTGAAACATGTTAGATTGATAAACGTTTCCTATTTGTTCTTTGTCTTATGAAATCAAATCTCCATATTTATCTTGATAAAGTTTCTTAAGGGATGAAACGCGCTGGTAGAGAAATGTTTTTCTTTTGTCTTTTATTGATATTATCTTTACAGATATATTTTATTTATATCTGATTTTTTTTACCCCCACCCACACATACATAATAATTATGGCCATATCACCTTGAAACATTGGTTCTCGTCCGATCACCGAAGTTAAGCAAGGTCGAACACGATCAGTACTTAGATAGTCGAACTTGATCTGTACTTAGATGGGAATACCAGGTGCTGTAAACTGGGATGTGCGAAGGCTATAATAAGAAATCGGAGAGCCGTGTTCGAATTCTAGTCGAGTTCGTTACATTCACTTACACGCAAATACCCTTGAGAAAGGTATGAATCATTTCTTCCAGTTTAAGGTGACTGGTTGCCAACCAAAGTCTGTTCTACTAGTCTAGGAGAAGGAAAACTTTGTCAGTTCTCTACAGTCGGGTTGAATTCAAAGGTTGGATGAGCTTTTTATGAGGAGCCAGCCGCCAACACAAACAATTAAAAAAAAAAAAAAAAAACGCCAGCAATTGTGGCATCACCTAACAGTGCGCCAGTACAGAACATGTTACTATGGTGGGGAGAGCGAACATTGCCGGACATAGGCTATTGACTACTTTAAACAATTCACCTGTGCAGGATGTTCAGTAAAAACTGAATTTATTCATCCGTCGAGGGTGGTTGAAAAATAACACCTCATTTTAAAATACTAATAATTCATTTATTAACTATAATTTTTACAAGAAATGGATATGAGAAGAAAGTGTTTGGCGTGAAGTTTTATTTAAAATTTGATATGGGCACCAGATTTCGCTACCAGCTTCTCGTGCCGCCCAAGAATCCCGTCAATTGATTTCATCAGGAATCCTTGTAGTATGGAAGATATAACTTCTTGTATTTGCCATTCAAGCTCTTCCAAAGTCTAGTAGACTTGCTTCTTTAACCAACACCAAAGAAAAAAGTCACCGGGTGTTAAAATTCCTAGCTGGCCACTCATATATAAAATAGGGAGTTACTTTTCAATCACCTTATATATGGTGTATCAAAAATACTTTTACAAACTTTGGGGGCGGGTTCCTCACACCAAATCCAGGACAAAAGTCCATATAAACATATGTCGGCAAATCCTTCATTTTTAAGTTAAGAAAGTTTTCGATAGATGGCGCTGTGTTGCCATTAGACTCGGTTACATTTGTCATTCGTGTACATTTGTGGCTAATCTGTCTTCAAAGTTTAACGTATGTAGTAGTTAACTGAGGAGTGTTCCGTTTAACAATGGCAAGATATTCATATCGTTGAGTAGGCAGATATGATTTCAACATACGGCCGCGCGAATGATAATGGACACGAGGCTACACGGCTGTGTAAGGTTGCGTTTCCAGACTGAAAGCAGTCAAATTATCCTACCTTTGCTGCGTTATCCTACCTTTGCTGCTGTTTCTCGTCGCGTTGATGAGACAATATCCGTGGCACCACAAATTATTGTCTCGAGGAAAACCGATTGCACATTTAACAGCGTCTAACGTAAACTTTAAACTTAATATCTCAAAAAACAAAGAATTTACACACACATGTTTATATGGACATTTATCCTTGTTTTGATGTGAGGAACCCGCCCCAAAGTTTGTAAAAATATTTTTGATACATCCTGTATATATGTACCTCACTTCAAACCGATACCTTAGGTTTAAAATACATTTTTAAAAAATCTTTCTTAAAGTTTTTAATTTAGTTTTAGTTCCAAGCTAATAGATTAAATTTAATATTTCAAATAAACGAAACTTCTAATCAGCAAAATACTATATTTGCTGTATTTGAAACCGAATTTAAATTCACTGGAATTATTTTTGACAAATCTGTCAACATAACATAATAATTCTCTTTATTAAAGATTATTTCAAAAGTAAAATGTACTTTTGTGAAACTTTAATTGAGGATGATTAACTGATTTGAAATTTAATTAATCTGAATTAATACAACTTTTACTTTGAATTATCACAGAAAAGCATTTTTTTTTAACACGGAGGTCGGTGTTTTTATGAGGTATTAACATATCCCGTTTGTAATGTCGCTCTCAAGTCTCTCCCAGTTGTCAAAAGATCTGATACCCACGGCTGATCAATAAGGTGATCGCTTCGATCCAGGCCTTGCCTTATCCCACGTTGTGATTATTTTGGTCGTGATCAAATCGTTGTCAGGTATTCTTCGATTTGGGCTGCTCCAAGTGGAATGAAGACGCACGAAAAGTTTTTATATACGTTTCTTAACTTGGATGTGACATTCTGCTGGCTTGACGAAGTTTAGCACAAGGCTGGAGGTTCTCTTCAGACAGGCAGTCACGTGTGTTGTTTCTCCTTCGGTGTCTGGAACAATTCTCTTTTTGTCGTTTCGACCCCTTCTTATTTATTGACATGAACCCAAAACTGATGTCGGGCATGACGCGATTGGGAAATTCAGTATTTTCCTTACCGTTTATTAAGAATCCATTTCTGCTGTCAGGGGTGTCAGGATTCTGAAAATTCATTCCTAATTTGGGAGATCCCCTTCTTCCATGGGTGGTGGTCGCAGGTATTGATCTGTTCCACAACTTCTTCCTTATCTTATTAGCATCTCTCACTAACACTCTTGAATGGGCGTGGGTAGCTCCTCCACCTCCCTCGGTATTTCATCTGCGCCTGCACCTCGCGCACTCTTCGACTGATGGAGTGGCTTAATCCCTAGATCGTTAATTAAAAGAATTATCATTTCAAACTTGTTGCTTACGTTAAAAAAAAAAAAAAAAATCCCAAATCAGCCCTATGTTTTTGTCCAGAATTAGACACAAGCCTTTCGGTCCCGTCGGGGACATTCTCCAAGAAAAACTTATCTCCGAATTATGATTTTAAATTATTATTTACCACTGGTCTGTCGGTATATCCGTCATTCTATTCATCAGCCTTCTTATTATTTACCAGTGCTAAATAGTGTCACAGCAAAATTTAAGTAGGGGAAATAGTTGTAAAATTACATGACGAATACAACTTAAACGCCTTTTTTAGATAATTTTTTTTTTAACTACGCAAAATATTAAAATATTTCAAACATTCTAATATTTTACTGAATTTTAGGTACTTTCACTTTATATGTTTGCTTACGAAGACACTTGTTGAGGAAATGTTAGAAAATTACCAATAAAATTTCAATTTACTATAGTTACCGTTCTTATTTTCTGATAATTCATATATGGACGTCCGTATTTACAAAAATTGGCACGTTTATACACACACACACACACACACACAAAATTCTAAACTCGTTTTAAAATACTAACGGTACCTGAATAAAGTATTTCGTTTATGATGAGTAAATTTATTTTTTATTTAATAACAATATCATCTAACCGCTACAAATTAATACAGAATTTTAAAAGGTATAAAACTTTATAAATTATTCGAATTAAATTTAAAAAATAATAAAAACATTTTTTGTAAAAACTCATTATTCATCGAAAAAAAAATTTTTTCTTAAGACAATAGTGTCCATAATATATATTATATATTATTCGTAAAATCAATTAAAAGCTTTCCTAATTAAATAATGTTTTAGTTTTTCATTTTTATTTTACGATTCAGAGCAGATTTTCTGTAACTGGGACTGCTGTGTGCAACCCTTCCCCGTAAAAATGATGATCTAAATTCTCCAAAGACTAGTCCTTATAACTAATAGTGCTACAAAAATGAATTTCTTAAAATTTTATGAAATAAAATAAGTGAGGGTAACAGATGTTAAAAAAAAGAAAGAATTTTACGAATATTTTCTACAAAAGAAACATTTCTAAAATAAAAAAATAAAAAATAACAATCAATTAACACCACCAGCACATCCAAGTTTACAGCATTCACAAGCGGTCACCCATCTAGGTACTAACAAGGCTCGACGTTGCTTAACTTCCGTGATCATACGAGAACTAATGTTTCAAGGTGATATGGTTGTAAGCTCTCTATAATAATAGCACACCCACCAGTTACAAAGGGTGTCGGGAAGTCGTTCCGTATATTGTACAGTTCCGGGAAAGTTGTATCGATCACAATCGTTTTTAAACAGAGAAACCCATGCGGAAGGAACAACACGGAGTTAGCTGTTGTAGTTGCAAGAATAACTACTTAATGAATTTGGGAACGCTCAAACTGTTCGTCATTTTAAATTCGCGGTAATTGCTTATTCGCTTTTTTTACGACATTTCGGCTAGCAGTGTGAAATGCACTAAATGTCGGTATTTCATAAAATGAAGTTGCGTAAAGGTAAAGCAATCATTCGTAAAGCGGGAATACTTGTATTCAACATCTTGGCTTTATACCAATAGCATATCAAATCGTTACAGCAAGTTTTAGGGCATGTGATACAATTCGTATTCGACCACAATCGTTTAACACGGAGAAAAACAGAGAAACAAAAGCAGAAGGAACAATATGGAGTCGGGTGTTCTCGCAACAAGAACGAAAGACTCCAGAACCTTCGGCACGCAGACAACCAGATCGGACCGGACTGTTACAAGCAGAAGACGGAGATGATTAGGTTTGGGCTCAAGGTATTTATTATTCACGGGGTCAGGGCTGAAATTAATCCAGTTGTTTCCGCTTGGTGTTTCTGTTATATGGTTCTATTAAACTCCACCCAAGATTAGTGACGTCAAAGATATTCTGAAATCCTCCTCCGATATCTCATTTAAAATGCAGCCAATCAATACTATTCCCCAAACCATTGTCACAAACTCCTCCCCTGTTATTTTATTGGTCGCATCTCTTAACCAATCCGTGACTAGTATGAAAACGACGAGCTTGTGAGTAAGAATTCTTAACATTGTAAGTCCGGTTTTGACACGTCTATGCAAAAAAAAAAAAAAAAAAATTATTACGTTGTCTTCTTTTATATCAGTTAAAAATCTGGAACTTCTTAAGTAATTTTAGCAATACCTTACTCCTTCTTTATGTGCCGTATCCCCTCAGGATGTACGTGACCATGACTCTCCACAATTTCTTGTGCTTTGTGGCGCTTTAATATCTTCCTACAATTTTCAAAACGGAGGGTTTTAATGATCCTTAAAAGTAAAACCAACTTGGGTTGACATATCTATACTTATATTTTTTTTCTTACCTACCGAAGTTAATGTATGTCATTGGGGTACCAGCCGTTAATCTTGACTCGAAATCCATCTACTGCCATCGAGGAGAAATGCTCAGCTAGCTGAACCACCAAACAGACGTTCC